TGATTCAGCATTACCCTCAAACAAGCATAAACCCATTTTTTTACCAGCAGTATTGCCAAAATCACCAGTACTGGCTAGATATGCTATATTTTGAGGCATACAGCATTAGACAGAAATAGCACATTCCTAACACAGGGAAAAATATCCAGACAGGTGGGAAAAACAAAGGAATTGTCAAGACAAATGCAACAAATCAGTGAAGACACGGTAGCAAGGGCACATCAAAAGGGCGTACCCAGTGCAGAGAGCTACCGCTCTGTGCGGGGTCTGGGGAAGGGTGTTAGTGGCAAGCCTTACCCTCGTCTGTGCAATGCAAGGAGACCACGACTCGAACCCGGAACCTTCCGGTCACAGGTGGTAAGACTCTACCGCTTGCACCAGGCCCGCCCTTCAGCAAGGGCACATCAAAAGCCTATAATAATTAAAAACCAGTGCGTCCCAATCAGTCTAATGGTTTCAGGCTTCCAGCAACCACAGCAGCACCCTCCTCTGTGTTATCAGAATAAAAGAATAATCTGAATACCCCTTCAGATGCTTGAGGACTCCAACAATATCAACAGATTGTGCACCATGCCCCTGCAAACTTAGAAGCACTCAAGCACAGATGCTAACACTGTAAGACAAAGCACATACAGCTGGGCATTTAACACATGTTAGTCTATTAGCCCCTGAATACTGGTCTACTCCACAGCCATAGTCGTGGCAAATCTGTAATGCTACTGCATTAAGAACTAACAATCCCAAAGCATGATATTTGTTTTTTCAAACATATTCGGTGATTCCAAGTCTAATAACCATTCTCCCACCCACGCACAAAAGAATGTATTACTTATTCTGGATTCTATGAACCAGCCGAGGGGAAAAGATACAAAGCTATCTAAGTTCTAACAATACCACTGCAAAAACAACAATGCACAATTGCAAAATCCTGAAGACGAAATCCATCATTCATATACTACGAGCTCTAAATCCCAACATCCCAATAAGAAATTTGAACTGCACCACCAACATCCCGATAGCAGAACCAAGAAGCACAGAATCCAGAAGACGAAATCCCCATCCTACGAGCTCCAAACCCAGGTGTTACGAACGCCGAATTTGAACTGGAGCACCAACATCCCGATAGCAGAAAACAGGAACACAAAATCGAGAGGACGAAATCCCTATCCTACAAGCTCCACATCCCAGTCATCCGAATGCGAAATTTGAACTGGACCTTCACCACCATCATCCTGAAACCAGGAACCAGCACCACGAAACAAGAAGACGAAATCGCTATCCTACGACCTCCAAATCCCAGTCACCCGAATTCCAAATTTGAAATGGGCCTTCACCACCATCATCCCTAAAACAGAAACCAGGGCCACGAAACCGAGAAGACGAAATCCCTATCCAACGAGCTCCAAATCCCAGTCACCCGAATTCCAAATTTGAAATGGGCCTTCACCACCAACATCCGGCGAACAGAAACAAGAATTCCGAACTCCGCCCGATACAATCAATCCCAAAACCTCCCCTAAAACGCAAAGCCTCGCATCCTCCAATCCAAACTGCTCGTATCGTGCGCACACCAGCAAAATCCAAAAAAAAATCCGAAACGATTCACGAAGCACCCAACCAAAGCGAGCGGTTCGAGCGGAGAGAGGGAGGGAGGGAGAGGTATACCCTGGCTGCCGTGATGGCCTTGAGCCGCAGGAGCGCGGCGACGCCGTCCTCCTTGGCGGCCTCGAGCCCGGCCGCGAGCGCCGCCGCTCGCCGCTCCGCCGCCAGCACCCGCGCCGCCGACTCCTGCGCCATGTTGAGCATGATCCCGGCGTACACCTTTTTCATCGCCTCCACCTACACGAAAAAACCCCCCGATCAGCTCGAACAGCGTCCGGCGGCGGCGGCGGCGGCGGGGTACAGGGAGAGGAATTTCACCTGGGAGTCCGCCATTTTGGAGCGGGAAATAGATTGGGGAGAAGAGGGGACAGGGGAGAAGGGGGAGTTGGTTGTTGCTGGCGCTAGGGGCTGTGGCGGTTGCAATAGAGGTGTGGGAAAACGGAAAAGGCGGAGAGGGAGGTGGGCGCGGCGCGGCAGCCGCTGCCGCGTCCGCCCGCCCTCGCCTTTTCACTGGCTGCCTGCGTCCGTTGGAGTGGAGGGGGGCCTGTTTCCAATTTTTGGGGGCGGAAGCGGAAGCGGGCGATGGAAGCCCAACTACCCTAATGTTCCAGTCATGGTGGAGAGAACCTTGTGGTTTGGGGAAATTGCGCAAAGGGGAGGAGGTGTGTCACGTGTGGATCGGGCGCACATAGGAAATGTGCCGGTTTTGTCAGTCTGGTTTTGATACTCCTAACCATAACGATGTACATTTTGTGTAATTCTAGACCTATTTAGCGAGACTTCTCGAGGGATTTCAGCTTTGGTTTTTTGATAAAATTCTACTAAACACTAATTTATAAAACAGCTTTGTGAGAGAAGCTACATATGGAAGAGAGCTGTTGTTTTTTCACTAAAAGGGTGAAGTCACCCAATCGTGGTAGAAGACATCTTAAGGCCTCGTTTAGATTGGGGTTAGAAATCAGCATTTGGCATTGTAGCGTTTTCGTTTGTATTTGACAATTATTGTCCAATCATGGCCTAACTAGGCTCAAAAGATTCGTATCGTAATTTACAATCAAACTATATAATTAGTTATTTTTTATCTATATTTAATACTCCATGCATGTGTCTAAAGATTTGATGTGATGAAGAAAGAGTGAAAAAATTTGCAATCTAAACAAGGCATAAGCGTGGCTTATTCGACTTCTTTGACTTCAAAGTTGAAATAAATTGGAAAATACTCTACCAAACAAGACTTTATTTAGGGAGTAATAATGGCCGTGATATTTTTGACATTTGAAAAGTAATAAATGAGTAGAACTATTTACATCTAGTATATATGGGCCAATTAAAACTAACAAAAAATTTATTAATAAAATTGTAGATGCTCCGAAAGGTTCAGCTTATGCTCACGGAGTATAGTTAATAAAAAGGCCAAAAAAAACCAACTAGCAATAATTTATTAGCTGCCTCCAACCAACTAATAGCAGCTAATAAAGACATTTACATTAGTAACAAACAATAATCTACATGCATGTAATATACCTATAAACTGAGCGATCCAAACAGTTTCTAACTTTTTACCAGTCGATTTTTTTTATTAGCTAACTTGTAATTAGCCGCGGTTTTCTAAAGTTTTAGTTGATCAAACATTCCCATAGAAGTAGAATAAAATGTTATTTTCCTATGAATCAGTAAAGGTTGTAATCTGCTGCCACGTGTAGAAAGGACTGCTTTGCAAGATTAATTAATTATAATAATCGGTAAATTACAACTTTTGATGAAGTGTGTGAAGCTAAAAAGTACGCTTAGAATATTTCACAAAAAAAAGGAACAAGACCATTGATGGTGCACAGGATAGAAATTTAGTACCGCCCATAATTGATGTAACATATTTTATCGGGCATGGCTAGTACTCAGCTTGATCTTCCCTGCTAATTCTTATAACGCTTCCTCAATGAAAACAGGTAATGTAACAAGAAAACAGGTGCTCACGTATCCAGATTTAAGGGGTGCAAGGGACTCCCCTGGCCCTAGCGTAAATACACAGGCCCCGTAAGCTCCCTCAATGAAGTTTTGACCATAAATGAAGCCGAAGAAAAGGAAAAGGAGAAAGAAGAGGACTAAGAGAGAGGTTGATATTCCCCTGTTAGGCTCCACCATGGTCGCCACTAGGGTGTCTTTACTGTTACATAACACGTACACCCCGCGTGATGAGCCTTCAGTTCGAAGTACCCACTTATAACCATAGAGTCAAAGATCCTAGCAGCCATTAGGGAACAACAACACTGCAAACAGCTATCTTACCACTGCAAACAAGTACCTCCAAGAGAACAAAAGATGTGAAATTCAATGGTAATGTACAGGAACTAAAACATATTGTAAAAGGGTTGTGTTTTAATGGATGCAACGACATCCCCAGTGAAACTTTTCTACTCTCAAATCATACTCTATTTGTATTTATTTCCAATCAAGCCCCTTAGATATCTATTTTAAACTTGATATTTTCCTTCAGTCTCAATGTGTAAATATTATGTACTTCGCAACTTCGGCTCTAAGAATTTGTGGAGTTGCCATCCTTAATTAGACTCTGAGATGCTTGAAGCTAGAGTACGTAACATTTGGCCTAGTTTGAATTAGGTCCACTGTGACCCATGTGTTTGTTGATAAGACATTTGGGGATTTAGCGCCATGATTGGTATTTGAGGGTGGATTGACCGACATATAAAGTTTGTAGAGTCTATACTGCCAACCCTGAGTTAATTTTTTCACGTGAAGTGAGAACAGAAGCGTAAGTAGGTTGGTGGGAAATGTGTGGTTCACTTTGCCTATAGAATGATTTGAGGCGTTTGGATTTGAGGCATATAGGTTCCACCACACAAAAAAAACAACTGAGCTAGGATTCGCCATTAAATTTTGATATTGAACAGACCTATTCAAATAGGTACTCCGTACCGAATAAGTATGTTAGATTAATCAAGTATTTTGTGCTACAAAGGTATAAATGTTAGTAATATTTTATATAATTAATCATTTTTTTTTGATTTAGTACAAATCTAGAATTGTTTTTCTTTTTCTTTTTCTTTTAAGATTACGCCTTTACGGCCACCAAGATACCAGAACGCGGGCCTCCTCGGACACGCTGGCCCACAGTACCCTCACCAACACGAGGCCCAATCCGCAGCAGGTCCACGCACGAATCTCGGCACCGCATCGCTGCCGTCCACCTAACACGGCTGACTGGAACCTTCATCTTCTTCCCTGCCAAGAAAGGGGAGGAGATGCGGCGTCCCGTGCACGGCTTAAAACCCCCAGGTCACCACGCCGCCGAATCATTAGAAACCCCAAACCAAACTACCAAAGGGAATTTCACCACCAGCGAGCAATCCCCCACCGCAAGTAAGATCAAGGAGGAGGCGATGGCTGGCGGCGGGCATGCGGCGGTGTCGTTCCTGACGCGGATGGCGAAGGTGGCTGTGGGGTTGGGCGTGGCGGCGTCCGCGGCCTCCACGTCCTTCTACACGGTGGACGGCGGGGAGCGCGCCGTCATCTTCGATCGCGTCCGCGGCGTGCTCCCGCAGACGACGTCAGAGGGCACTCATTTCCTGGTCCCCATCCTCCAGAAGCCCTTCATCTTCGACATCCGCACTCGCCCTCACAGCTTCTCCTCCACCTCCGGCACCAAGGACCTCCAGATGGTCAACCTCACGCTCCGCGTCCTGTCGCGCCCCGACGTCGAACACCTCCCGGACATCTTCAACTCCCTCGGCCTCGAGTACGACGAGAAGGTCCTCCCATCCATCGGCAACGAGGTGCTCAAGGCCGTCGTCGCGCAGTTCAACGCCGACCAGCTCCTCACCGAGCGTCCCCACGTCTCCGCGCTCGTCCGCGAGTCGCTCACCCAGCGCGCCCGCGAGTTCAACATCGTCCTCGACGACGTCGCCATCACCCACCTAGCCTACGGGCCGGAGTTCTCGCAGGCCGTCGAGAAGAAGCAGGTCGCGCAGCAGGAGGCCGAGCGCTCCAGGTTCCTCGTCGCACGCGCCGAGCAGGAGAGGCGCGCCGCCATCGTCCGCGCCGAGGGGGAGAGCGAGGCCGCGCGCCTTATCTCCGAGGCCACGACCACTGCGGGCAACGGCCTGATCGAGCTCAGGAGGATCGAGGCGGCTAAGGAGATCGCCGGCGTCCTGGCGCGCACGCCCAACGTCTCCTACATCCCCTCCGGCGACAATGGCCAGATGCTGCTCGGGCTTAACGCCGCCCGGTGAATGGATCGTCACTTTCCCCGTAATTAGTTAGTGCCTTAGTGTCCTATTGAACTACTTCAGTATTTTCAGATGCATCTACTTAGTTATGGTTTTGTGGTACGATTCGATGCTGGGTAAAGATGGTGATATGCATTGCTCATAAAGTTCGGCAGATGGAGAATTTATCCAACAATTGCTTCATTTTATTGCCAGAAAACTCTCGTTATTGTGATTGTGATATCTCTTGTTCCATGTGCTTGTTGTCTGATATATATGTGATTTTCCATGTGCTTGTTGTCTGATATATATGTGATTTAGTGCTGCTAGCATTCTACAATGCCTTGTTGATGTTGTGGTTGTCTTAAGTCTAGCAGTCCAGATTGGTTGCGGACTAGCGGTTGTGGATTAAGGGCTTGTTCGGTCAGAATCAGAAAATAGCTTGGACTATTTGAGAGAAAAAATCTTGTTATGCGAACAGGGCGTAAATAGTTTTTTGGTGAGTGAGGCTGCCAGTTTGCCTTGCTGTTGACCTTGGATTTAACGCTCCCTAAGGCCTTGTTTAGTTTCAAAAAAAATTTCTCAAAAAGTGCTACAGGAGTCATCACATCGAATCTTGCGATACGTGCATGGAGTATTAAACGTAGACAAAAAAAAACTAATTGCACAGTTTGGTTGAAAATTGCGAGACGAACGTTTTGAACCTAATTAGTCCATAATTGAACACTAATTGCCAAATAAAAACGAAAATGCTACGGTAGCCAAATTTCTAAAGTTTACCCAACTAAACAAGGCCTAACTGAGTACTGGTTCGAGTTTGGTTGCTTGTTTCACATATTATATTGTGTTCTGTTAGCACGTTGTACTGAAAACAGTGCGCTCTGTTTTTCAGAATCACATAGCATAGTTTGGAGCTATCTGTTTTTTTTTCAATTTCCTTTTAATGGCGAACAGAGCTGCTATCTGACTAATTTATTAAGACATTGAGCTACTTGCTGTTGATATCTTGGTTTTGCAGCTAGTTTTGCTGGAAGGAACTAGATACTGTAGAACTGTTTAGGCAAAGGCCCCAAAACCTGTTTCCTTGTATACAATTTTGGCACGCCCATTTTCTTTTTGTGTCATTCTGAAGCATGAATGCTTTCAAGGCTATGTTTGGTGAAAGTTTGATAACACTGCACTGGATTTTAATTTTAACATAATGTGTTTGAGTAGATTTTCCCTTGACAGAATCTGCCTTTCTTGGAAGTTTGCATTGGATTTTAATTTTAACATAATGTGTTTGAGTAGATTTTTCCCTTGACAGAATCTGCCTTTCTTGGAAGTTTAGATCGTCCAATGGTTGCTATAATGGCTGTTCTTTGAATGGTGTGTTAGATTCAAATTTGTGCGTGCAGTTTTGCTTTGCCCACTATATTTCTCTTTATGCTCAGGAACTCAGTTATTTTCTGGCACTGTCTTGTGATATTTCCTTTGAATCTCAACCTAACCATCACTTGTTGCCAACTTACGTTCCGTAAGCCTTGTTTATGGAAAACATAGCTTGACTGACCTGTCTAACAAAGAAGCAGAGCCCCTGCTTATTTTAAGATCGACTTTGTGTGAAGCTCATTTCTTTCAAGTGGAAGTTTCCTGTTTTTTATGTAAATCCAGTTGAAAACGAACAATTGCTGATGGAAAAACCGGACGAAAGTCAAGGAATGTAAAGCACCGTATGAGCGAGCACAGAAAAGTGAAATAGATAAATAGTTGACCTGGTAGTATGATCATTTTTTAAAGTTTATGAACCCTGATAGCATAGCATTGGATTAACGCTGGTGCAACTTTGTTTAAGATCTCTGCCCAGTTGCGCTTGCAATTTTAGCCTGCAGGCTGCAACCATCGAATATTGTTGTTGGTTATAAAGTGTGCAGTGTTTTGTGTGTTTCCTCACTCCCAGCATTTTGTGATTGAATCTTCTTGATGTTGGCACATCGGGCCCTATTCGCTTTGCTGAAAAGTCAGGCTGAAAAGTACTCTTCGCTGATTTCTTGAGAGAGGAAAACACTGTTCCTTCGCTGAAAAAATATATGTTTTTCTCTCACAACAAATCAATGAACAGCATAGTTTTTAAGGCGTCGCCTAGGCGAGGACTAGTCGCCCGAGCGGATTTTCAAACGCGGCGTAGCTGTCGCCGTATCCTCCTGGCGTATGGCGTCGCCTAAATGGTCGGTCGTCGCCGCTTAGTCGCCCTTCGCGTGGCGGATGCGCGGACGTAAAAGGCGGGAAAGAGCGGCTGCGCGGCATAGTTTTCGAAGGGTGGGAAAAGCGGTGCGATGCCCTCTGCTGGGAAAGAAAGCGGCGTAGCGCCTACACCTCCCGCCAAAGGCTCCCAATCCCCATCATCGCGTCCGAGAGAGCGAGAGAGGAAGAGGAAAGGAAGAGAGAGAAGAGAGGAGGTTGGCGGCGACCTCAAATCCGGGCGGCGGGGCTTCTACCACCGTGAAAGCGATCGCCTCACCTGTGGCAAGTCATCCCGGCAGCGAGAGGACGCCCATCCGCGACTCTGCTCGCCGCATTGGGCTGAGGCCGCCCCGTCCCGTCCTCGCCCTTCCGCGCGAGGCCGCCCGTCCGCGCAAGTCCAACTCCGGCACCATCCGCTTCTGCTCTGCTCTGCTCCGCGACTTGTTTAACTGGTAAAATACCACTGGCTTGCTATACAATGTCTCAATCTCTCTTGCTGCGTATGGCGTCGCCTCGCCGCGTGCCTAACTCGCCTAGGCGTCTGAAAGGGAGTGGAGCGCCGCACCTCGCCTTACCGCCTTAAAAACTATGATGAACAATACTTTTTAGCCTAAGATGGCTGTCGGTCTCTAGCGGAACTCTATAGCATCTTCTAGGTTGAATCCAATTATCCAATCCAGAAGTAGCTTGCCAACAGTTCTGTACTAAATAGTAATTCTATATTCATGTTCTAGGTTGAATCTAGTAGCAGCTTCCCAACTAAATATTCATTGTGTAAGGTTATTCTCTTAAATGAATGAATTACTAAGAGGTTGTGGGTTGAAAAAGTAGTTTATCCTGATTCACTTCCTACACAGAATCGCATGGTCCCAAGACGGTCACAGCCTGTTCGGCAGGCCGTAAACGATCGTGGATTATTTACTGCTGACTGGTTTGGTGTGAGAGAAAAATACTGTTTCTGTTCAGCAGGCCGTAAACGATCGTGAATTATTTACTACTGGCTGGTTTGGTGTGAGAGAAAAATACTATTCCGACTAAAAATTTACGATCGTATACGAGTAATCCTAGCCTGCCGAACAGATTCTAGCTATAGAATGTCTCGTGGTGAATTACATCCGATGGAGATTGGAGAATGAGGAGCATGAGGATGTCTATTTTACATCTGGCTCGGCCCGCAACTCGGATATGGCCTGGATAGCCAAAGGTGAACCTGAAAAAGGTTCTCGGCTCGAACACCCCTGCGTATTAATTTCAGCCGTTTTTTATATATATAAAAGAACAGACCCGTGGGATGCTACTGGGCACGAAGCTTTTGCTTGAAATGAACCGAGCTTTTCTTTCGTCCTAGCCCTAAATGGTCAAGGCTGGTTATAATGCAGGCATAATTTTCTTAGCATCCCACTCAGGCACTGTCCCTTCTTCTCCAAGGGGGCTGTTTGAAAGAGCTTCAGCTTTTTCTAAAAAAAATCACTTTCAACCGGCCAAACGATTAAAATGTCAGCTGATTCAGGTGAGCATCAGCAGAGAATCACTTGTCCATTTATGTTACGCGCTGGGAGCTAAAAAAATCTGCTTCACCCTGCTCTCTGTTATATTATGGTGAGGATCAGCACAAAATCTTGCTTTCTCCTAGAAATTCAATAAAATCACTCAATCGAAAAATCAAAAGCAGAGCTGAAGAATCAGAGAGCGGAGCTCTCCCAAATAGGCCATGAGACTTAAAAGTCATCATGGTTGCTCGTGCTCTATCTAGTTATAGATAAATATTTGTGATTTCCTAAATAGTATGAGAGGGTTTGTCTGGTTCGTGTCCTCCATGGCAACCTCCAAGCCAGGCATTGAAGTATTTGGAAGGGCTGAGCGAGATAGTTTTCCCTCTCTTTTTAAACGTAACGTCATTAAATCCTAGAATATTTGTTTGGCGTGGCTAGCGCACGGACGTGGACGCTAGCACCCGTTCGTACACCCGCGCATGCCGAGATCGAATCGAGGGAGCAGAAGTGGGGAAGCAGAGACGGGAGGGGTGGGATTAATACGGAAAGAGCGAAGTGGTGAAGGCGACGGTTGATTCGCCGTGGCTCTCAGGGACGCGACGCGACGCGGAGATCTTCTACCCACCGTTTGCCTAGTGTCGCGAACCTACGACGGTTGCTCAAACTGAAGCACACGTGTCTGACGTTCGCCACGGGCACATGTCCGGATGCAGAGACGGTGGACGGTGGTGGCAGCGGATCCCCGCGAGCCAATAAGACCAGAAGATATTGCGGCTAGTGTGTTGCATACTACTTCGCATGTTGCGCGCCTGCTACTCCCTCCCTCTCTCTCTCCGCCGCTTGTTGTGGCTGGTGCCAAAGCATTTGTTGCAACATACCTCTAAAACAAAGTGAAACATTTGAAATATGCGCTTGCAACATATGTGTGTAACCACTACAACTTGCAACATAAATCTGAACAGACGAAACATTTGGAACATAAGCTTGCAACATATGCAATATTCAGATAAAACATTTGCGACATACTTCTGAAACAGCTGAAACATTTGAAATATACACTTGCAACATACATTTATAGCCATTGCAACATATGCAATACCAGATCTACTTTTTCAACATCCAAGTAAACACACATGGAACATCCAAATGAAACATACATATGAAACACATGAAACGTACGGAGCTTGACGCCCCGGAGTGGCGCGAAGGTCGCTAGTGTGGAGCTCATTGGCGGCACGGACCTTGGCGGGTGAATGGAGCGCAGCCGCGGCGGGAGACGCGGTGGAGGCGGTGAGTCCGTGCCATTTTCTAGTCTTGCATCACCATCGCTGTCTATTAGTCTCTGTAGCTCAGCTTTAGTCCCTGCGGGCGGGGCGAGCGAAGCGCGGGTAGGGGTGCGCAACACGCAACGCAGGAGAGGGCTCGCGGCATGCAACGTAGGCGGGCGGTGTGGGCGGTGCACAGTGTGTGCGGGTCCCGTCGGATGGATGAACACCCTATAGGTATCATATCGTATTTAAAAATATTTAGCTAACACATTATAATATATTTTCTTTGATTAAAGAATTTCTTTTGCCGAGAAGGCCTGCCGGCCAGCCGGGCAGTGACTTCACCACGGACACCAGGTGCTAACCTTATGTTGTGTCGTCCACTCAAGTCAGGCGTTCATTTTATGTGGCTTGACCGGAGTGGGAGAATCAGAATAAACGGCGGTGGTGTATTATTGGAGTGGGAGAATCAGAATAAACGGTGGTGGTGTCGGCTTGACCGGAGTACAGAGAATTAAAGCTGATGTGGCTCCTCGTCCGTCCGGACCAGTGCATTTCCGATATTTGTTCTCACATGAGTCGAATCCATGACCAGAAGTGTTACCAAGGCCCTGATTAGTTCCGTAAAATTGAGGAATTTGGCTCAAATATGTTATTTTGCTAACTTTTACTTTTTGTTTTTAACATTTGACTGTAATTAGTGTTTAATTATGGGCCTAAAATCAAAAACGTCGTCTCTGTCGTGATTTTCCACCAAACCGAGTATAATTAATTAGTTTTTTGGCTCACTTTTAATGTTCTGATCTGATGAGCAAAAGTAAAATTCACAGATGTGATAGCATTATACCATCATTTTTGGAAAAACTTTTTAGAACTAAACGAGGCCTAGGCTCTTGTAATCACTGGACTGCAGCCTCTTTCGCGCGAGATAGTTTTGCATTGGCCAAACCAAATGATTTGCTTTTGTGTGGGCCAAAAACCATTAATTTGGTTATTTCTCCGGAGGTTTGATGGACAGATCGAAGAATCTGCATGGCCTCATTTTATGCTTCACACCGGTCTTGCAAATTTTATTAGGTACGGGTATGGCCATATGCAGAAGCACAGTACAGACGGAGCAAAACATGCACGGGCACACCGTGCCCTCTGCGGTGCCGCCGTGCCGGTGCCGTGTGGTGCGGTCAACACTCAACACACAGACCAGACAGCATGGCCATCTCATCGCACGAAGCCGGGAGGGGCCCCCCGAGTCCCCACCCGCACCGCCCCATCCCCGCCCCCCGAGCCCAAACAAAACAAGCCGCACAGTGCGGTCCTGTCCTGCGTGGTTTGACCACGACGCGACCAGCCCGCTCCTCCTCCCTTGCCGAACAGCCGAAGCGCCCCACAGCAGAAGCGAAGAACGGCAGGAAGCCAACCGGGCCTGGCAGGCATGCTCGCCCGCTGCCGCAGCTGAGGCGAGGCGACCCGCAGCCGTCCCCGTCCGAGACGCCGCGTCCCCGGCGGCCAGCGCAGGCGCGCAGCCGCCATGGATCCGGCGTCCAAGGAGCTCGAGCGCCGCAGCCGCTATCTCAGCTCGCTCATCCGCCGCACTAAGCTCAGCGCCGCCCCTCAGCCGGAGCCGGAGCCCGAGCCCGAGGTGGCGCCACCGAATCCGGAGCCCGAGCCGAAGACTGAGGTTGGGAAGCGCGGGGAGGCCAAGGCGGCGAAGCCAGTGGCCGAGGTGGAGGAGAAGCGGGAGGCCAAAGAGGCGGGGGACGGGAAGGGGAAAGAGATCAAGGGAAGGACGACGGGGGTCCCAAGGAGGAGGACGGCAGCAGGAAGGTGTCGGTGCGGGTGCGCGCGGCCGACATGCCCCTGCCGCTGCAGCGCCGCGCGGTCCGGCTCGCCTACGAAGCCATCGCCGCCATGCCGCGCCTCGACAGCAAGCGCCTCGCCCTCGCGCTCAAGAAGGTATGCCACCGTCGTCCGCCCTACATCTCGGTAGGTAATTTCTCTTGGGAAGGTGTGTCAGCCTGTCTTTGTGTCGCTAAGTCGAGCGCACGGAGATCATGTGTTGTGGGCCTGATATAGAGAAATGCGGGTATGCAATTGTGCATTTGGGTTTGATTCGGCCGTTTGGGTAGGTGTTACTCCTACTAATGTTGAGATTGTAGGAAATGTGGCTAACTGGCTAGTCCCCACAGTGGTTAGTCATAACTCGTAACAAACCTTGTTGGGGGGAGGGGTTTAAAATCAGAGATCCAGTTTCACATTCAGTTTGTCCTCTCAGCAATTATGCTGAGATGAATGGAACTCCTCGAGGTGCTTCTGTAGTTGTGTGAGAATTGTGCTATGACTTTGGTTTTGATAGTTATTTATAGCCATACAGCCAAGGACCACGGTAAGAGGCAGGCCTTGAGGAATTCATTAGGTAGCTTTACATCCTGCCTAGTAAATACGACTTGTTGCTTGCATACTCTTTAGCAAATTGGTTCGCCCATCAGTACAGCAGAGGCGATCTGGATGAGGAAGGCGACAGTGTTAGAGATGACCAGTCATGAAATGTCATGTATGCATCTTAAACTTTAGCAGGACTGTTTCATGATCGCAATGCAGTGTCTGTTAGAGTTATTGAAAGGAGCATCTTGAAGAAAGTAGGACATATTGATATTTCTAAATGTTAGATGGCATTTGGTCCCTATATTGAAAACATTAAAAAAGGGCGTACCCAGTGCAGAGAGCTCCCTGCCTGTGTGGGGTCTGGGGAAGGGTGTCAGTGGCAAGCCTTACCCTCGCCTGTGCATTGCGAGGAGACCGCGACTCGAACCCGGGACCTTCCGGTCACAGGCGGTAAGACTCTACCGCTTGCACCAGGCCCGCCCTTCCTATATTGAAAACATTACCTCTATATATTAGGTGGTTTCAAAAAAAAAACATTACCTCAGACCATAGCACTATTAGTGCAAATCATCTGCTTTTGTGTAGCCATTAATATCTTGTTTATGTGGACCTTCTGAATTCGACATAGGTTAGCAGTGGACCTAGATTTCGCCAACTTCTGCCAATGTGTTGAATGAATGCAATCTTATGTTCCTCTTCATTTATTGTGTTTTGTTGCCATGCCATCTTTGTCTTGTCTAGCAAGTAGCAACTACTGTTAGTTTGTCCCCCCACATGTGTAACAAGGAATTAATCTTCAAAGATGTTGGTACAAGCACCTCAGAGGATCAGAGCAATCTGGACTTCTACTCTATGTTAGTGTTAACTGAAATGGATCTCTGAAATGCTAATATCCAAAAAGGGATTCTTGACAAAAAACATATGTATTATTATTATCTGTGTACAATAATTTATTTTAGCCTACATAAGACTTTGGACCAATAGCCTTAATTTGTCACTATGAATATATTTGTTATAGGGTTTCTGACTGTTGTCTCTTGGGTTTTCATTCTTACAGCTTAGTGCAATATTATGTCCTCCATTTATGAAGCATTGCTCTTCTTTTATATTGAGCATTTGGTGTATCTGAGACTGTAGAAAATCATTGTCTCTGCTGCTGCTGCTGCAATATTATCTCTGCGCATCTCTTTCATAATATGATTTTTAACTATTAGCTTTTACTCTTACTATTAGTTTCCTGTAACCTCCTAAACCTGCTGAATGTATAATCTGGGTTCTAGTATTCATTTCTAGTAATCTGCTGATTACTTGAGGCTATTGCTTTCCAGAACATTGGTTGCATGCATATTAGTTGTTTAACCAGGATTTGGATGTTTGGTGACTCTGCAATTCATCAATCTTCCCCATGTTATTGGTAGATGATATTGTTTTCATTTGCCTGCAGGAATTTGATACGGCATATGGTCCTGCTTGGCATTGCATTGTTGGAACTAGCTTTGGTTCCTATGTCACTCACTCTCTGGGAGGTTTCTTGTACTTCTCTGTCGATAAGGCCTATATTCTTCTCTTCAGAACCGCTGTTGAGCCACTAGACCATCCGCGATGAGGGGGCCATGAAACAGTCTACTAGCTAGCGCATTCTGTATTCGACATTTAACTGCAGAAGAAGGTTAAGGAGAGTAGAACGATCATCGCCCTCCATGCAAATATGTAGAACCAATCTGCTGTAACTAGTTTTTTTCCATGTACTGTGCACTAATCTGCCATGTAAACCTTAACATTAGTTTTCGGAGCTGTAACTTGACTCGGTTCTTCAGTGCGAGGGGAATTTTCTTTTGCATCCTTAATGCCTTGTAACCTTTGTTCGCTTTGGAATCAGTATGATCTCTGAGGTCGTAACCTATGGTGGCGAACCTCGAGATTTGAGATTCAATCATCGGTTGTGGTAGATGCATCCAGTTAATATAGATGTTCTGATGGATGCTCCATATTTGATCTGCGCTTCTGTCTGGCTTTTAGATTCAGAAAGAATGTTTGGTATCACATGTTCAGAAACATATTGATAGAAGAAACCTGAAATTACTTTCTCAATTCTACCTCTATACTAGTCTGAATGTCTGATAGTCCTACCTATATTTACATCTGATCTGCATTGCCATCGTGGAGCTGAGTGAGAAGAATGAGCTAGTGTTTCATCATCCATTCTGTTCAGTTTATACTGTATTAACAAGCAGCACTAATGCATAGTGCAATTCCTATCCATCACTACTACTCCATTATAGCGAACTGGTGAGGCGATAAAACATTACGATATGACAACGCTAAAACGATGAGCAGCACGGATCAGCCTGCAGGTAGGATAGCAAGAAAATTCAGGAGTAGGCGCCACGAGATGATCCAGAACAGCCTAAATTAAAATAGTGCAGCCATGTGGACCATCTGGCCCAAAACCAACGACGCGATCAGGCTCCAGATGCTCCTGAACTCGTCACCCCTCGACGAGGCACCATGCTGGTGGTGGTGCTGCTGCGCCGGGGCGGGCGGCGGCGGCGCTTCCACGACTGCATGCATTCATTCAGGTGTCAGATGCCATCGGATGGGTGCACGGTGCACAGCAGGGGGATCGGGTGGCTAAAAACGCCGCAACGGCAGCCGGCCAGAGAAGAGAACTAACCAGGCTCGTGGGAGGAGGTCCCGGTGCGGCAGCCGACGGGGAGGCCGCAACGGGCGGGGAGCTTGAACATCTGCTCCCTGGTGACGTTGAAGGTGGCGAGCAGCTCCGGGTCGGCGAAGAGGCGGCACAGGCACGGCATCTCGGCCGCGGCGGCGTTGTGCATGGCCGTGCAGCACGTGGCCGAGGGGTGCTTGGTGGTCTTGAGGTACGCCGTGCACGGCAGCAGCTCCTCAAGGCACGGCAGCAGGTGCTGTGACGGGGCCACGCCGTGCGGGGCGCCCGCCGGGGCATGATGGTGGCGGCAGGAGACGGTGTCGACGACGACGGCGAGGAGGAGGAGCGCGGCGAGGTGCTCGCGTGGACGCATCGTCGTCGTCGTTGGCGCAGGCTTCGGAATGGTCGATCGGGGTGTGATGAGTGACGATGCGAGGTTCAGGGAGGTGGAAGATCGCCGGGCCCGTTTGACTTGTTAAGCCGGCATGCTGCCGCGCTGGCCAGGGGACGACGTTATTTCGGGCAAAAGACGGTGATTTTGCCAAGTTCCTAGGATCACATACATAGCAAGTCAAATGGAGCGGTGAAAGAACACGCTCTTGAATGAAACCCCAAAAGAATGAAAGCCTCGCTATCAAAGAAATCAAATAATTTTAAATTTAACTAAATATATATATACAGAAAACTACTAGCACTTAGGATGCGTAATAAGTATCACTAGATAATTATGAAATATATTTTGTTAAAAAATGAAACATATTTGAAGATATAAATATTGATACTATTTTCTATAAATAACCTAGTCGTTGTTTGACTCCTCAGAAAATGAGATTATATATTATTTTTTGGATGGAGGAGTACTAGCAAACACTCAAAGTTTCTCTTAACTAATGTCACCGATCAAACTTCTAGGTTGTGTAAATCCCTTTGTTTCTTAATCCATTAGTTAAGAGAAATTGAAGTCTGCGTTTAACTAAGGCCTTGTTTGTTAGGGCTCCTTCTCAGAGGCTCATCTTTTTTTACTAAAAAAACGGCTTCTAATACTAAATCGTTTGGTAGGGCTCTTCCATGGGAGCACGAGCCACAGCCGAAAAGGAGTCCTATCAAATGGGACCTAAACTGAAGCCTTGATGGTCCAATGTTTGCTAGTACTTAGTTTAGTTTCTCTTAACTAATGTTTAACTGATATTCTGATAACAAACATATTTGAAGATATTTGATTTCTCTTTGTTTCTTAAACCATTAAGCCAACTAGTAAATGAGACATAGATCTTGGTGGTGTAAACCCAGTGGCAGTTTGAACTTTTCTCTAAATGGACCTAACAATAGGACCATCAAGGAAAGCATGTTTAATCGCTTCATTACAATCATAGAAACAACACTATTGACTTCACATCTAGTTTCTTTTTGCTAAGTTATCTTTTATCATTATATGACGCCACACCGAGAGCAAACAAAGCCGGATTTGTTCTCCACCGGATTTATTGTCAGTGGCTAGTGGCAAACAAAGCCGTAGCTCGGTCCGGCCTGATAGACTGCCAGGCCAGGCCTAGTGGCCTAGTGGGGATCGGGAATAGGATACTATCTCCGGCCCAGCCCGGCCCGAGTTATGTTCACTCCACAAGACAAGCACACGGTTGCTAAAAAAAAAGAGAGAATCACACTGGACGGAGCAGAGGAGCAGGCGACGCCTTCGCCGCTTCGGTGACGGTTTGCCCCGGGGACGGGGCGCGGCGGCCTCCGCGAGCAGTTCGGCAGCGACGCGGCGCGGGGCGCCTTGCTGGGTGGAGTAGCGCGGGTCGGAAGCAATAGTCGCGGAGCACAACGAGAACGCTAACATCCAGCAGGTCTGTATCTCCTCTCCTGCAGACCACCACTGATTTTTGGTAAATTTGCTCCACGCAACAACTTGGAGCCTTGGTCGCCTGGGAATGAGTAACTATCATCGGATACCCTCAACCAAACTTGTTTCGTCGTGTGCTATCTGATTGTTTTGGTAGCATGTGCGCTGAATCGTGAGCAACAGTATTCATTCATTGTTTGGTCGAGAAATTGGTTCGAATGGCATGATGTATGATTGGCCGACTCTTGTTCTGGAGTAGTTTAGCAGGAACCTGGTTGCTGGATTCCTTAGTTTGTGATTTGTTGCTATCTTCGTGGCTTTGGGGCTAAATTTTTGGGTGCTCATGCTAGCTCTAATATCAAGTAAACCATTTCCTCGACAAGAAAACAACATTCTCTGACCCAGGGGGTACTTTGTGGTGATTTCTATGAATTATGGTCACTTTGTGTTGCTTATTGAATTTCTGTGGTGTCATGTGTGTGTGTGTGTGTGTGTGCATGTAAACTTGAAGCGGGTTTCTGATTAATTTGGGAACGAGGTGATACTGGTGTTTAATGTCCTTGCTGTTTGTGTCTTGTTAACACCCTTTTTGATTTTCCGGAGTCATACTTGCAAAGGTCTAATGATTTCAATACGAAATTATACCCATTTATGCACTTTGAGTCAGCCCGTTTCCTCAGATTTTTTGCAAGTTAAGAATGTCTAATTTGAGGGACAGCATGTACCTGTGAACCTATTGTTTGCCTTATTCCATCAGGTACATTGTGTGATCATTTATAAGATACCTGCAAACCTAATTTTTGCCTTCTTGAGGGTTTGGCATCTAGTGATTGATCATCTATAATGTGAGAGGGTGATACTGAGTGCCTCGAAGATGCCTATGCAGACTATGTGGCCACTTTTGAAACACTGACTCCTTCCTTGACGGAGGAGGCTAATGTGCCCCTCAGAAGTTTAATGACTCATAGGAACCTGTTCGCTCTATTGGAGTTGGACATGATGATTGGATAGCTTGATATCTGATAACATCTGTTCATTTGATTTAGATGTGAGGTGTAGTCGCTCTCTCTTTTTTCTGCAAACTTTTTAACGGTTGTGCAATTTCTACTATGCAACCACCAATCACACACTAATTTTGTAACCTTTTTTTGCGTAATGTTTTAAACGTTGTGGAACTTTTACTCTGCAGTAGGTTTAGATTGCAAGATGTAGTAGGCTTCTTTTTTTGTGCTATCTTCCAATGATTGTGGAATTTCTATTCAGCAGCCACCAAGCCACATGAGTTGCAATCAGTATATAGTTATACACCTTTTTTAAGAACGTGCATGGGCACATGTTTCATTTAGAGGGAAGCAGAGAGAACAAGCGATTGGCCACCGTGCCCATCTAAACAATGTGTTGGCAGTAGTTGCAGTATGCGATTACACAAGGATGGACACAAAGCGACCCAAAGCAAAATAATAGAACAATGAGAACATCAGCCCAGTACTGTAATTATACACTAATTGTGTAACATTTTTCTGATTTGACAATGCAGTAAATATTATACGGAAATTTAATTGATCCATATTCCATTGTAACAAATGGGTGAATACATAGAATGAGATGGCCTTAGAAGCTAAATAATAGAAAGTGTAATGATTTTCTCAAAGTAGTTAATTGATGGCTTTTATGGTGGCAAACAGCTAAATGAGCTAATACGTTAATTTATTGGTTAATGAAATACCAGAACTTATTTTTACCTTAGGTGTGTTTGTACCATCATGGCCTATCATGCAGTTTTGTGTACTGAAATGCAGTCATGCTTGTTTGAGCCATTTCAACTGTTCAAGATAGTTTTATTTTTTACTCAATGTTATTATTCAAGTATATTATCCATTCATATGCTGTGGGTCTTCTTCTACCGCACCATTGCAGGCACCATCAGAAAACCATATGGCTTGGCAACCTTGGAGCAATTATGGCCATAGAAATTCCCCTTCAAATTCATTACCTGGAAGAGTTCCTGGACCCATGCATCTGCTCCCTTCCCAGGAGGAGCTTGCAGTTCGTTGTGAAGAAATTCGTAGAATTGCTGCTGATAATACTCTTGTGCTAGAGGATATTTGGAGAATTTTTATTTTTTAATTCTTTTTAATTAAATATTTTAATAATAATCGCTCCTAAAAAATTTTGCGGATTTGACCCTTTTGGTCGCGCCACATGCATTAGCGCGACAACATCCACCATGTTAGATGGCGTTTTCGACGTGGAAAACGTTGTCACACCACTCCCGCTGGCGTGACAGTATTGTTCTGTCGCGCCACCAGAAGTGGTGTGACAAGACAAAACCTTTGAAAAATCATAACTCTTTGATACGGCGTCGGATGAAGATAAAATTTATATGAAAATTGTAACTCTCGATAAGATCTACAACTTTGTAGTTTTGAGTTTTTTCATTTGAGGACGTTAATATGCTAAAAAATTAATATAAAATTTTAGGAGCATAATAACCACGTATAAGTGCTTGTCGCATTAGAAAAATAATATTATTTTTATGTGGTGTCAAATTGTCGGTGTTTTGAGTTACCACCGATGAGTAAATTTCTAATATTGCGCGTCTGGCTCGGATGGTGTGCTTAGAGGATACGAGGTTTATACTGGTTCGGGCAGAAAGTTTCTACGTTCAGTTCGTCGTTGCTGTTCGTGTTACTAGCACTGAAAACTTGTAGTAGGGGTTACAAACGGGCAAGAGAGGGACATGCCCCAAGTCTTTAGTGAAAGGAGTGAACATGTGTCAAGAGCTTGGTCGCTGCTCAGCCGTGTGCTTGTGCCGTGTTCTGATCGGTTCGGGGTTCGATGGGTTCGTCTTGAATCGGATCCTCTTCATGGGGCGTCCTGCTTTCCCTTTTATAGGCCAAGAGAAAGCACGGGTTACAGCGGAGAAAAAGAAAAGAACGAGAGAGAGAGGAAGTCCTTCAGGATCGCTGGGTCCTTCTTGTCCTTCATGCGGGTCTCGCCGACCATGTAGATGTCAACAGGGATAGCTCCACGTCGCGGCCCTGTCCACCACTGGCGCCATGCGCAGGCGTCGTCTGTCGGTCATGGCTTTCCATTCCGTCGCAGCGGACGTCGTGGTGATGCTGACGCGCCTGTCAGCGTTCGTATGGGGATTAGGCAGAACAGCACCGGTACACCCGACGCTGTTTTTAAGGTGAATCCTCGGGTATGGCCCGTCATGGCCACGGGTTACATAAGGGCATGCCGGTCTCTTCCTGGGTGTTAGAGTTTTGACCTAGGCTCATACACTTGGACATGGAGTGGTTGGCAGTGGCATAGATCCCCGTCGGGCGAGGCGGACCCCGCCCCCAGAGGTCGGGCGAGACGGAGCCCACGGCCTTAGGGTTGGCGAGGCGGAGCACGTGGCCTTGGGGTCAGGC